GGCTGCAGCCCCAGCAGCCCCAGCAGCCCTCCCCTCCTCTCGGGGCTGCCTTTCCCCGGGCACAGCCCAGAAGGCCGGTGGATGGAGGATCGGGAGCGGGGAGCGGGGTTTGGGCTTAATTTTTAGGGAAAGGGGGAGGAGAACGTCCGGGAAGGGCGCCCTCCGCAGGAGGTGGAAAGGGTGGGAAGGGTCCCTCGGAAAGGGAGGGAGTGGGGATACGGACTGGGGAAGTTTAAGGAAATTAATTTTTGAAAATATTTCAGTATTCTCAGATATTCTCTTAAGAAGTCTTTTCATTTCCTTTCCTCCCCCACATTTTGGAAAAAGAACAGGCCATTTCATTCACATTTTCCACTCCCGAGTTCCATTTCGTACTGTGTATATAGTGTGAAAGAAGCAACTGAAATTTTTCTAACACATTTCCATTTGCTAAGTTACTTTTTGAGAGTACACGGTTTCACATCTCGGTTTTTATAGTTGTAGGAAAGAATTTGTGATCTCCAGGTGTTTGCTTAGTTACTGAAATAACTTATTACTTAAATTCTTGCGAGTTAATTGTTATATATAGTTCAACTTGAAGAATTATTTTTTGCTTTTGTTATTTCGATGAAATGGAAGAATATCTTCCTGAGTGCTCTTGAGAACCTAAATGAACAGATAATCTAGATTCACAAGCATTTCACTTGTTTTACATATTTACGTACATGCAGGTGATGAGTGTATAGTCAGTTTTAACTGCTAAAGTTTATGGGCAAGTTGGGGAGGAAGCTCTTTAGGCTGTAAGTGTACAGGTCGGGATGAAATTTATGGAATACTGATACACTGAAGTGTGGATATAAACAATTACTAAGTCAGTTACTGCTGCCTGGATTCCTTATTCCTCCTAACAGCTAGGGATAGGGAGATGGGAAGGGAGCAGGAAACAATCTTTCATCCCACCAGCTGTTCAGTGGGTGGGACTAGAGGAGATAGGAGTTGAGAGGGACTGTGAAAAAGTGTGGAAGTTACAGAGATGATTTGCACGGTAGCATGTGTCATTCTGTGATGGGACAACATGATGAAGCCAGGTCCAGTTAATGTGAGTACAGTTATTAAGAATATCACTTGTGCTTTTAAGGCTTACTGAATTGAAGTTCATACCTGATTAACAATTTATTATGTGTTTATGTTATGTTGATTTTAACTTACAGAAAGGATATATTTTTCTAGTTTAGTTTAACAATTCTTATTTGATGTTGAGGTAAGGTTATTTGATACAGTTCAGAAATTTTTTATATAATTGGTTGTTTGGATTTGCACATTTTTCCATAGAAAGAGTCTTAAATAAGTCCATACCATGATAGTCTGAGATAAGTTAGGACTCCTGACAGACCTTAGAGCAATTTAGAAGGTTATGCTATAACAGCAACAAAGCCTGGGGACGAAGGTGGAAGGAGGAAGAGTTAGATATGTAGCTTCTAAGGTCTCAGTAATGGGGAATGATCAGATGAGGGGACCAATCAGAATGATAGTGGTAGAGCAGCTTGGTTTCAGACTTACTAAAATTTGATGGTACACATATTCACTGTAGAGTATTCTGGGAACTGCCAATAGAGTATTGTTACCTAAGTAAATTGCCAGCTGAGAACCATGCTTCATATTTTGACTTAATAAGCTATCTTCAGTTTTTGATTAGAAATTGAAATTTTTTATTTTAACTTTAATGGTTCACATAGTTTACTAAGTTGTGAGACAAAAATTTTTGTATATTTCTTTTTCTGTACTAAGTTTGGACTGTAAATGATGTGAGGTTCATTGTACAATGGAAAGTGATGTAAAAAAATTGTGTTTTTAAGGAGTAGAATTTTTAGGTAGCTTAATTATGGGTTTGGTTTGCTGGATGAGAGCATACTGTTAAATGTAGATTCTTGGACTCTCCACCAGTATTTTTGCAGACTGCAGGTTGCAGCCCATTAGTGGGTCTTGCAATCAATTTTGTGAATTTCTACTAATACTTGAAAAAAAAAATAGCAGGACATTGCACTTAGCATAGATATTTTTGAGGTGTGTTAAATTTTGTTTTACAAGTAATGTGTATTGGGTTGGATGTAATATTTTTTTTTAAACTAGGGATTGTGGCCAAAAGTGCGCTATGGTTTTTAAACTTTAGTGAGAAATTGGTAATGGGTCACAAAAATGATTACATCATGTAATGTTGAATATAATAATTTTATCCTAATTTGAGCATCACTTATTGCACACATGTAGTGATATTGAACACTGATGTACAATCAATTATGTTTCAATAAAAAAAAATAAAGTTCATGGTAGGAGTTGGAGGTCTTTGAGGAATATGTTTATAAAGGCTGTTAAATCCATGTGGCTTTTCTTATTTTGGAATCATTTATTCTGTGCTCTTGTACCTAGTGTGGTTAGACAGATCTGGGGGCCTACTCTTGCTTGAGAGGAGGTTATCCTCCAAAGCCAGGTAGAAATCAGGGTGGGTCTTAATAAAGAATAGCATTCAATGACTGGTCTAGGCCTTGAGGAAAAATGCTTTTTTCTTTGTTTTTGTTTTCTCTTATCTTCTTGCATCATCAGAGATCTGGAGACTAAGTTATGAGCATGGGTCTGGGGAAAAGGGTTCAAAGTGGCAGCTTGGCTTGCTCTCAGTGTTGAAGGCCTTAGGCCAAACACACAAAAAGTTTTTGTGATTCATACTTGGTGCAGTTCAGCTTTCTGGAGGTAAAGATTACACATAGGGGTTTGAGTTCAAAATCTTAATGATAATGGAAGCATATATTATAATGATTAAGGACTTAGGCTTTGATGCCAGATATAGATTTATTTTCTGGCCTTGCTACTTACTAGATGTATCAGTCAGAATAGGTTAGGTTAGTACTTCTCAGACTGATGAAGGAAGGTCTTTCTTTTGTTTATTTCTAATCCACCGTGATTAAGGACTTAGGCTTTGATGCCAGATATAGATTTATTTTCTGGCCTTGCTACTTACTAAATGTATCAGTCAGAATAGGTTAGGTTAGTACTTCTCAGACTGATGAAGGAAGGTCTTTCTTTTGTTTATTTCTAATCCACCGTGGACGGATATCATTATCAGATATAATAAAAGTACTACAGATATTTTAAAAAATGAAGATGGAATAAGAAAGATAAAATAAATGCCCTAACTTTTTATTATTAGATCCAATAGACAACATTATTTTGCTGTAACAATTTCCTTTTTGTACTCTCAATTTCTATACTTCTCTGACATAAACTGATAGACAGTTCACAGACTGGCTCACTTGTACAGACCAAACTTTGAATAGCTCTGGGTCAGACTATGCTGCACTAACAAACAGCCCAAAAAATCTCAGTGGGAGTAGCTAAAGATGAGTTCCTATTTGTTCTGCCATGCTTAAGTTTAGCCACTTTATTTTAGGTCAGCGTTTCTTAACTTCAAAAGTACTGTACTTTGAAGGCTGAGGATAACAAGGCTGAGGATAGTAAATAAGTATCCCCTCTGATTGGGGGTATAGCCTGAAGCTGCTCCTGCTTACACTATTTTGAAGTTTTAAAAATCTTAAGTAATCATGAGACATTGGCATTTTATTCTATATTCGTTTACATTCTCCTTCCCCACTAATCTGGAAGTAAAAATTGATTCTCCTGAGGATGTAGCATGTTAATTTTGTTGTTTAGTTTAGCTCGAGGTCACAACTGAGTACTTGTGATAGCTTCATTTGAGGTGAGTTTCCAGGTCAGAGTTTTTCAGTCTTGGCACTATTGACATTTGAGGTTTTACAATTCTTTGTTGTGGGGGGGGCTGTCTTGTACACCGTAGGATGTTTGCCAGCATTCCTGGTCTCTGCCTACCGAGATGTCAGTAGCACATGATAATCCAGTCGTGATAATGAAAAAATATCAGCAGACATTGCCCAATGTCACGTGGGGGGTTGGGGGCTTGAATCATCCCTAGTTGAAAACCACTGCACTAGGTGATGTTATCACGGGCCGTTG